CCCTTCCCCGGGACGGGGGGGGGACCCTTGGGTCCCTTCCCCAGGGGGAGGGGGCAGAGGTCTTCGCCCCGTCTCTCACCTCCACCCTTCTCTGTGCAGAGCCATGGGCAGGCTGGACCCCCAGGTCTCCGGCAGGAGTGAGTGAGGGGCCCGGATGTCTGGGTTCTCCGCGGCTGGAGGTTGGGCTGGGGGCCCCGACACCTGGGTCCTCCCAGGCTGGGGGCGGTGGGGCTGGGGCTTGGACGCCTGGGTCCCATGCCCCCTTGCCCCGCCCCCCCAGCCGCAGGACCCCCCCGTAGAGCTGCCGCCTGAGCTGCGCTACATGGTGAGTGCCCCCCAACACCCCCTGGTGCCCCCCCCCCAGTGCCCCACCTAACCCCAGTCTCCTGCAGGAGCTCCTGAGCTGCGCGGAGTCTGTCTACGAGCAGATCCAGCGCTGACGTCACGGCCTGGGGAACCCCACAAGAGATCTGCCCCCCCAGGAGATGCCCCCAGAGCCCCTGGACACTCGGGATTAAAGAGCTCCTCCCTGCACCCTGCCCCCAGATGCCTGGGTTCACTCTGTGCTGTGGGACCGGGCCGGGACAGCTGGCTTCTCCAGTGGGGGGGGCCCACGCCTGGGTTTTCTCCCTGGAGCCCGGTTCCACCCCAGTGGCTGGAAGGAATGCCCAGCACACACCAGGATTAACCCTTTCCTGCCCTGCTGTGTATGTGGGAGGTGGGGAATGGACACTCCCACCCCTCCAGCACAGGGCTCCCCACCTGCTGATTCTGGGTGGGGGGGTGAGGGACATGGCTACCACGGTGATGCCCCCTGGACTTCCACACCCCGTTTCCATGGTGACTGAAACACTGGGGGTTGGGGGCGATGGGAGGGCACCCATCCCTGACCTCTGACCCCCGAAAGGCCTGAATGCAGAATGGGGCCAAGGGAGGCAGCAAACCAGCCAAGCTTTATTTGGTTACAGGGTAGTACGTTTGGCACCTGTCCCAGCATGCACCGGGGCACCCAGCATGCACTGGGCTGGGGAGGGACATTGCTCAGCTCCAGAGCTCCTGATACAGGTCCCCGGCTCCGAGCTGCAACGTCTGGGGGGGGACACAGGGGAGGTCAGAGATACGGGTCAGACGGACACACCAAGCCCCTCTCAGGTCTGGGGTGTGATGAGCTGCCCCGTTCTCAGCAGCCCCAGGGAGGCCCTTACCTGGTAGGTGGGGTCGGGGGAGCTCCCAGGCTGGATCTGGGCAGAGAGGGAGGCAAGAGGGTTGTTAGCACCAGAGACCCCAGGGGACCCAGGTGTCCCGGTCACCATAGGGGACAGAGGGGAAGGCAGGGGGCTGCGGGTTGGGAGTGAGGGTCAAGCCCCTGTCACTTACCACTGCCCCCGTACAGGCCGGGGGGGGCAGGTTCTCATACACTTGGGGGGGCTCCTTGCTGTCCCGCGGGGTCTTCCTCCGACAGTGTCGGACTAGGGGAGAGGACAGAGGCTGAGACCAGGGATCCAGGTGTCCTGCCCCCCCTCTCCGCCCCTCCCTCCTCCAACAGCTGGGTGGGGAACCCAGGCTTCCAGGTGGCTACTCACAGAGGACATAGGCCAGGGTGCCTCCCAGTGCCAGGGCCGCTAGCGCAACCCCAGCCACGACTCCAGCCACAAGACTTGGACCTGCGTCATGGGGGGAGATCAGGAGGGGGCAGAGACCCCCCCCCAGCCCAACCCCCCGATGCTGTCCGGGAGCACTCACCCCCCTGCCCTGAACCCAGGGTGATGGAAATGGAGGTGGTGGCGATGAGGCCGGTGCGGGGGTTGGTGGCACAGCACTTGTAGATACCCGTCTGCTCCGTGCCCATGAGCACCAAGCTCAGGACAGCACCAGTGCTGGTGCTGGTCTGTGCCGGGACCATGTGAGAGCTGTGGGACCAGATGAACTGCGAGGCCGGGACCGAGTCGGCCATGCATGTCAGGTTCACTTTCTCACCGGCGGGCAGGGCCAGAGGCCCCTGTGGGATGATGTGGACAATCTCCGGACCATCTGTGGGGAGAGTGAGGGGTGACACTGCCCACAGCCACCCCAGAGCCAGCCACATCCCAGGGTGTGAAACCAGCCCTGATGCCCACCCCAGAGCCAGTTGCATCCTGGGCCTGTGATACGGATCCGGCCACATGCACTGCACTCACAGATGACAGTGATGGCAACGGCTCTGCTCCGAATGTGACTGATGCCTTTCTGCACCTCACACTGATAGTCTCCAGCATCGCCACGGCTAACCTGGCGAAGTTGCAGTGTCCGGTTCCTGGGGGACAGCCGCACACGGCTGCCAGGCACCAGGATGGAGTCGCTGCGGAGCCAGCGCAGGGTCTCAGCGCCCTCGGGGGCCTCGCACGTCAGCTCCAGAGTCTTGTTCTCCAGCATAGTGTCACTACTGAACGTCACTGCCGGGGGGTCCAGGGGCTCTGTGCCAGGGTTGGGGGGTCACTGGGGTCCCTGTTCCCCCTGCAAGGGATTGTGGGAAGGGGTGTGGGGTGCAGGTGGAAAGTCACCTGCAGGATGCCTGGGTTCTCTCCAGGTCTGGGAAGGGAGCAGGCCCTGGAGCGGCTGGGCCCGGTTGCCTGGGTTCTCCCGGGGCCCAGAGGCACTCACCGAGCACAGCCAGGTGGACCGAGATGGAGTGGCCATTCCCGGGCATCCCGAGCCGCACGGTGTAAGGACCGGAGTCACTGGGCTGCAGCCCCCCCAGGCGCAGGGAGCAGCCAGGCCCCCCCGTCTCACGCCGCGTGTACCCGGGCCCGTGGCTCAGGGTGGCGCTGCCCCCAGGCCTGAGTGTGAAGATCTCGACGTCACCTGCACGGTACCAGGTGCAGGCCACAAGGCTCAGCTGCGGCGGCGGCTGCGGGGTCAAGGTCACAGCTCCCCCCACCACTGGGGCCGGCGGGGGGTCAGGGGTCACGGTGATGTGGGTCTGGGCCAGCACCAGCAACAGGCAGGAGCCCAGGACAGCAGCTGTGGGTGAGGGGGGTTTAGACTAGCTAGTGAACCCCCCCAGCCCTGGCGGTGCCCCTCCCTCCCGCCCGCAGCCCCCT